GAGAGAAGAACTGAATATGAATCTGCAGGGTTCGTGTGTTAGAATGAAACAAAACACAACTCCAGGTCTTTTTGTGACGAGGAAACGACATTAAACTTTGTCCCGCTGGAGGTTTGTGGAACTTCCGATTCATGTTTTTCTGTGTCAAAATGTTTGTGTGTAAAAGTTTGTGTGTAAATGTGAACAATTTATCCACAACTATCAAGGGAAGAAAGAGCAAAACTTAAAGGAAACAACGAGCCACATTAGTCACACAACAAACTCTACTCATGTTCTGATCATGAAGAAAACAGAAGTAGATTTGTGTTTATGTAGCGTTTTTCACAGACACAAACGTATTTTTTTGTAAGTTTGACCCTTGTTAACATTTGTATAAAATCATAGAATTATCAGATTTTATTGTCACGTTCCACAAACTGAAACTGTCTTAATTTATGTTTGTTTTATGCGATGAGTTAAACATTTACCAAACCGTGCGTGGATGAGATGAACGTCCTGATTGTGCGTTTGTGTTTCGGTTTTGTGTTTGTCAGGTGAGATGGCGTTCCCTCAGTACACCGGCCGCGTCGCCGACTGGATCATGAACAAAGAGGCTCCCGACGCCTTCACCCAGGCCATCACCCGCATGGCCCTGATGACCATCGCCAGGTACTGACGGTTACACGCTCTGAACAGCAGGGGGCGGCGTTTTCACACTATCACACGAGGAAACGAACTGTATGTAGTCTGTGCTCTTGTAGTTTTTAAACACTGTTGGGCAAGTTACTTTAAAACTGTAATGTGTTATTTATGACTTATTACTGTCATTTCAAAGTCATTCGTTACATTACAATATTACTGCATTTAAAATATAAGGCATTACATTACTACTGCATTACTTTAAGTTACTCTCACCAAAATAACTGCGAAGATGCTGAACTTTTACGATGCATATGGACTGAACCAGGTCTAAACCAGGTCTAAAACAGGACTAAACCAGAGCTGAACCAGAACAAAACCAGGACTAAACCAGAACTGAACGAGGACTAAAACAGGACTCACTGTCCAGACGGGCTTGAAGGTGACCGCAGACAGACTCCCTGCTGCGAGGCTCAAGGTCCTGATTTCAGCAACTATTTGCGGGGACCCGACCCGGTGTAAGACTCTGCTGCAGCGCGTCACTTCTAACTTCCTTCAGCGTGTCCAGAAGTCCAACTTTTTGGGCGATGGTCACATCTTCCTCTGTCTTTTGGGTGCGAGCGCAGGAGCCTTTGTCGGTGCAGAAGGTTTCGTCGACGTTGTGGGTTTTGTCGGGGAGAAAACTTGCAAACATACAGCACTTCGGACGACTGTAAACCAGGTCTAAACCAGAACTGACCCAGGTCTAGACCAGGTCTAAACCAGAACTGACCCAGGTCTAGACCAGGTCTAAACAGCGTGGAGTTCTGTGTTGGTCCTTTCCCCCGCGGTTAACTGAAGGTCTACACGGCCGCGTCTCCAACGTTTCACCGCTGCTGATATCGCGGTGATTTTAGCAAATTTGTATGAAGAAAAACCCACCACTTTCAATCCAGGTTAAAAAATCATTGTAACGCATGATACTCACATTTGTACTGAGTAAAATATTACTATTTTGTTCCCTGTTAACGCCACATTACTGCGTTACACCAAAAAGCAATGCATTACTGTAATTCGTTACTTTTATAACGCGTTACTCCAACACTGTTTTTAAATAGTACAACAATCAGTTTATGTTCAGGCGTCATGTGAGGATCAGAACCTCCAGAATTCCCTCTTCCCTGAGCTGCAGAGGCTGCACTAGCACTGACTCAGGACTGGAGCAGGTGCTGGGGTTTAGAGAGAAACGGTTCACATCAGAGAGACACATTTTAGGTTTAAACTCACTGGATTTTCAGTTTTGAGGCTCATTCTGTTTTCTTTACAGTTTGGGGAAAAATGGAATTGTGATTTGATGTGTTTACAAAGTTCAGAATTCATATTGTAAACCAGTGTCACAAACCTTCATAACCCAAATCAAGTCGTAAATCACAAAGTAAAGTTGGATTTGAGCATTATTGAACATTAATGAGGATATTTTATTGTTGACTGAGTGATTGTGTCTCTGAACAATTTTTATTTATTTATTTATTTTATTTAACCTTTATTTAACCAGGAAAAAATCTCATTTAGTATAACTCAAGTTTAAACCATGAAAAACAGTCACTGAAGCAACAATAAAAGGATCCAGAAGTCGCCTGTTTGGACTTTAAATGTAGAATGATTCTTTTTCTTTTCAACATTCAACTGAACCAGAAAAACTGGAACAAAATAGACAATAAAATAATCACAGAGGTCTACTTCAAACGAAACAGGCAACAAGAGTTTTTTCTATAAAAACACAGAATATTTTGTCCTTTTGCAGAAGACTTTATAATTTTAAAATTTTAACACAATAATGAAGAAACAACAGTACTAAAAAGGTGTGTGTTCTGTTTCCAGTGCGTTTCTGGAGTTCTTCTGTGACCTCATGTACAACGTGACCATGAGCCACATCCACACCATCGTCCAGGGAGAAGTGTTCCAGGCTGTGCTCAAGCAGGACATCAGCTTCTTCCAGGCCACGACCACCGGTGAGGACAAGACTAAAACTCTGCTCTTTTTCATTAAACACGGGGCTTTGTGCAAACTCAACTCTGGAGATTTGTCCCATATTATAATATTCTCCCATCAAAAACCTGCCTGAAGAGGTTTTGGAGTCGTCTATGCGTGTTTGAGTCATTTAGTGATCTCTCCTGGGCCCTATTCAAACCCTCCTTATGGTCAGAAAAAATATATAATACATAAATGGAAACAATACATTAAAAATGAGCAGAAATAACAAGAGACATAATTTTACAATTGTCTATGTACAAGCAGTGTTGGGAAGTTTACTTTTAAAATGTAATCCCCTACAGATTACAGATTACACACACCAAAATGTAGTTTGTAACATAATCCATGAAGTTACTTAAAGTGAGTAATGTAATCTGATTACTTTGGATTACTTGATTTGCTGTAGAGAAACAAAGACGAGGAAATCTTCACATAAGAAGTTTTGTCTGATAAAAGAAAATAAAAAGTCCAGATTTTACTGAACCAAATTAAAAATATTATTGATAGAAAACGAGGAGACATGGTCCACACGGCGTGATTTAGTCCTGTTAAATCCTGTTTGAGACCTGGTTTAGACCTGGTTTAGACCTGGTTTTAGTCCTGGTTTTAGTCCTGGTTTAGTCCTAGTTTAGTCCTGGTTTTAGTTCTTTAGTCTAGTTTAGTCCTGGTTTAAACATGGTTTAGTCCTGGTTTAGTCCTGGTTTTAGTTCTGGTTTAGTTCTGCTTTAGTCCTGGTTTAGTCCTGGTTTTAAACGTGGTTTAGTCCTGATTTTAGTCCTGGTTTTAGTCCTGCTTTAGTCCTGGTTTGGGGGGGGGGGGGGGGGGGGGGGGGGAACAGTTCAATCCCTCTGTGTAATCCATTTATTTCAACAAAGTAACTGTAATCCAATTACCACTCACTGAAACAGTAACTGTAACTGAATACAGTTACTCATCATTTGTACTCTGATTACTTCACTCCAGTACATGTAATCTGTTACTCCCCAACACTGTGGACAAGTAAAAATATAATAAAATAGTATTACAATTATATATCATTAATTGGCTTAAATGTGCATTGTGTAACTTTTCCGGTGGAGGGTCCATCACCTGCTTGTTTCTATGGAGACGTCACTGCTCTGCCTGGAATGTTCCGCAGTGTGACATTAAACAGCTCGACTTTACATTTGTTCAATCACAGGTGCAGGTTTTACAGCTCAAAAATACCAAGAAAAACAAACATTGTGACTGTGAGCGGGGTCGCCTCTCCGCAGATCTGACCTGGAACTTGGTCTGGTTTGGTCTCCATGACGACAGAAATGTCTAAAACCATACTGGGAAACACTCCGGACAAAACAATAACATCTGCATGGAGAAAATAATTACAAACACTGTACCAGAAAAGTGATTCTGGACGTAAACTGTGCGATGTTTTCGATCATTTCACTCAAACTGTTCGACCAAATCACAGAGTTAAAAGTTCACAGCTCATGATTCATGTTCTCAGACTGAACGGAGCGAATCGAGGTGTTAATCAGTTCTCGTTTCCTCATGTTTACTACACGAAGCACGACGCACGATTAAGATAAAAGATCCCAAAAACAGTCGCACAAGTGAAAAATCGGCTCAAAAAGCTCCAAACATGTCACAGTGTACGACCGACTTTACACAGTGCAGCTTTAATCTAAAATCCCGATTCTAAACCCGGTGTGTTTTGTTTTTAGGGGAGCTGGTGTCTCGTATCACCACAGACACCAACGACATGAGTGAGGCTCTGAGTGAGAAGCTGAGTCTGCTCATGTGGTACTCGGCTCGCTTCGTCTTCATCCTGGCCTTCATGGTGTGGCAGTCCTGGAAGCTCACGCTGCTCACCTGCATGGCCCTGCCCGTCATCTGGGTGGTACCGGAGCTCATCGGGCACTTCAGACAGGTACCGGCTCCTCTGACTCTGCAAATAACACATACACCTGATTATACTGACTTTCAAAGGGGCGTGAGGTCAGTGTGAGACAGTGTGTCCTAATGTCGTTTCCTCGTCACAAACAGACCTGGAGTTGTGTTTTTGTTTCATTCACACAAATCCTGCACATTTAGTTTCAGAGTTTTGTCTCTTGTTTTTTTCTTTTCAGGCCATTTCTACTCAGCTCCAGGAGTCGTTGGCCAAAGCGAACCAGGTGGCCACAGAGACGTTCTCCAACATGAAGACGGTGCGCAGCTTTGCCAACGAGGAGGGAGAGACGGAGCGTTACAGGAACAGCCTGGACCAGACCTACGGCCTCAACAAGATGGAAGCTGCAGCCTACGCAGGGACCACCTGGGCCAACAGCGTGAGTACCTCCAGAGTACCTCAGAGTACCCAAGTACCTCAGGACTAACAGTGTGAGTACCTCCAGAGTACCTCAGAGTACCTCAAACTAACAGTGTGAGCGCCTGGTGTTGTTGTAATCCAGACAGGTCCTAGCTTCATCTCAGACGTGAGTTTGTTTGATCTCGAGGTGCTTGGACTCGATTTGTCACAGTCTTAATTCAGCCTGTGGCTCGTTTACAGTCAGAAGACGCTGTGCAGCACAAACACACACACACACACACACACTCCCCAGAGCTGTGTGGAACATCGTACCTGTTCACCTCACGTCTGTGCGCTGCTCCTCACTTTATCCAGATCTGTTCCTTAGGAGGACCACACACACTCATGACATTATGTCATGATTAGAAGAACGGACTACAGCAAAACTCTGAACACAAACTATAATTATGCCATATTTGACACCAAACAAATATTTTTGAAAAAAAAAAAAACAACAAAAACTTGTCACCATTTATATTGTTCTCTTTGTTATTATATTATATTGTGATGTGTGACTCCTGTGTCCAAATCATTTCCCTTGTGGATTAATGTTTGTCTAAGTTTGTCTGACTCCAAATCTGCAGTGTTTGTCACAAAGTGCAGACTCACACACTTTATGAGCGGCTGTAAAATATGATGCACAGTCTGTGAGACGATGTAACTCTGATACAGCTGCACTTTTATCACGTTTATAACCAAACTCTTGGCCCAGTTATTTTGGAGCTGTTCTTTGTCAGGAAAAGTCGGCTTCAAACTGTGACTCCTGAGCCATGGGTGAGCGTCCAACAGGGGGCGCTGTGTTTATGTTTGTAACTCTTCCTCACCTGTTTGTGTGTGTTGTGTGTGTGTGTGTGTGTGCAGCTCACCACTCTGGCTCTGAAGGTGTGTATCCTGTACTATGGAGGGACTCTGGTGACTCGAGGGGCCGTGAGCGGAGGAGACCTGGTGTCCTTCGTCCTGTACGAGCTGCAGTTCACCTCGGCTGTGGAGGTGGGTCCATAACACAAACACAACTCAACAGAACATCTCATCTGAGGCCAGGCTCCTCACGCTGCTCGTCGTCTCTGTCTTTGTCGTCTCCTTCAGGCCGTCATGCGTTTTTACCCCGAGGTGAAGAAAGCCATCGGAGCCTCAGAGAAGATCTTCCAGTATCTGGACCGGGTTCCTCAGATCCCTCCAGACGGAACTCTGGCCCCAGAAAAACTGGAAAAGGAAATCGAGTTTAAAAATGTGAAATTCTCCTACAACGGCAAAATGGATGACAGCAGTCTGGTGCTCAAGGTCAGTGTCGCTCTGCGGAGGGGGGGGCGCTGCGGCTAAAATCATGTTGTTGTTTTTTTAAATCTGTGGTGTCAGTGTTTCTTGTACAGATTAGAACTTTTTATTTCCTTTTAGAACTGACAAAAGCTCGGCTCCACACTTCACTCTCTGGTTTTATGGGCACATTGCACAATATAGTTTGTTTAGTTTCTCTACAAAAGCTCAAGAAAAGCTCAGAAATTGAATAACTTAAAAACTCCAGTGTGTAACTTTCTGGAGGTGGAGGTGGCACATCACCTGCATGATTCCATGGAAACAGAAAGTTAAACCCATACTTCAGAACATTCTGTATGGAGATAGAAACGTCCATCCGTCCATTTTCTTCCGCTTATCCGGGGTTGGGTCGCGGGGGCAGCAGTCTGATCCCGAGACATTCCCAGTCCAGCCGAGGACATAGTCCCTCCAGTGTGTCCTGGGTCTTCCCCGGGGCCTCCTCCTGGTGGGACATGAACACCTCCCGAGGGAGACGTCCAGGGAAAACGTAGAAACGTTTTATGCCATATTTATGCCAATATTCATGGACTATTATAACAACAGGACAACATTTCCATGGAAATGAGCAGGCAGAGGCTTTACGGGGCAAATAAGAGTGAGGTTTATGGAGATGCAAACCTGCTGAAGAGGTTTTTTCATTAGTTTTTTTTTTCTTTCAGTGCAATAAACACAAGCAAATTTAAACAATGCTTTGTTTTAGTCTGTTTTTACCTGCAAAGTTACATACTCTGGCTTTAAATACTTTAAATGATCCCATAATTCTTTACCCAAGTGATTTTTTTTTTCAATTCATTTTCAATTCTTTGTATGAAGAATTGACAATCAACTTGTATTTGTGTGTGAACAGGGCGCCTCCTTTAAGATCCTCCTGGGAAAGACCAACGCTCTGGTGGGTCTGAACGGCTCGGGGAAGTCCACGTGTGTGAAGCTCCTGGAGAGGTTCTACCAGCCCCAGGAGGGAGTCATCCTGCTGGACGGAGAACCGCTGCAGAACTACAAGAACCAGTACCTCCACCAGAAGGTACAGACGGAGCAGAGAACAAAACTGAACTTGTGTTTCAGTGGTTTGACTCGATTCATTTATTTATAAATGAAAACATTGATATACAGTATGTGCCAAAATAACTAACTGCTCTCGATGAGCTGTGGTCTTGGTCTTGTCTCGGTCTTGATCCTCAGAGGTCTTGTCCTGGTCTCGGGACCCTGTGGACTGGTCTTGGTCTTGATGAGTGAGATCTTGCCAACAACACTAGTGTGATTTCAGGTTTTACTCAGGATGCCCTCCCGTCTCTCTCTCTCTCTCTGTCTGGTGTTGTCAGATTGCCGTGGTGAGTCAGGACTGTCTGCTGTTCGCTCGCTCGGTGGAGGAGAACATCAGGTATGGGTTCGAGAAGGCCTCAGAGGAGGACATGAAGAGAGCGGCGGAGCTGGCCTGTGCCCACGACTTCATCACGAAACTGCTCTCAGACGGATACAAGCACAGGTTTGTCCCACTTTATTAAAGAAGGACTATTTTACTTCTGTTTTGCTTCTAACACGTCACATTTAGATCAACACGGTTCCTGTTATTGTTTTGAAAATGTTTTATTCCCCAAAAACATCGCACTAAAGTTTCAAGAGTCTCCAATCCCTCTCGTTAAGTCGTTTGTTGTGATTCGGATTATACGATGGGACTTTCGGCTCTTTCACAGGAGCCGAATCTTTTGTATCGGTTCATTTCAAAGCGTGTGATTTTCTGTCTTCATTTCCAACAGTTTGTTCATTCATGTTCTCGGTAACTCTTACTTCAACACCACACATCTGATAATGACCGATCTTTTGAAGACACCTGCTCACGTTTCCTGTTTTGTGTTTTGCGTTTCCTGTTTTGTGTTTTGTTCTCAGACGCTGGGGAGAAGGGCGGGCAGGTCTCCGGAGGACAGAAGCAGAGGATCGCCATCGCCCGAGCGCTCATCAGACGCCCCGAGATCCTCGTTTTAGACAACGCCACCAGCGACCTGGACGCAGAGACGGAGAAGAAGGTACACGGAGAGATGGGGCCCAACTGTCACACTATTTACTCTTTATAAAAATATTCTAATTACTACTCTGTGGGGATGTAACGATATCCAAGTCTGTGAACCTCATGGTACGATATTTATCACAGTATCATGGGAAAGTTCACGATACGGTTGGGAGGCTCACGATTTTTTTTTTTTATTTTTTTATTATTTTATTTTTTATTATGTTTATTTATTTCGGACAGTAATACATAGAACATAAATTAAAAAACAAAAACAAAAAACTAAATAATAAAAAAAAAGACAAAAACGTAAATACATAGATATAACACAAAAAGTAACTATTTCTATTCTATAATAACAGGCAAAATAAATGTTACGCAGAATTTTCCTTGTGTCCGAAATTACGATATTACGATATCATACATAACAAAAACAAGACTGACTTTATAACCAGTCATTTGGTCCAACATTTATTGTCATATTCTAGCAATATCCAAATCTCACAGTACAATAATATCACGATATGCATCTCACGGTACGATATTTATTGTGGTATTTTGAGGAGCTAATAAATAAAGATGGGACACTTTTTGTTTTTAAAATACCTTGACAAGATTTTGGTGTGAATTATTTCTGTCATAATCCCATGATTTCAAGTCAAAAACATATTTCTTCATGTCGTCTGCGCTGAAATGAATCATGGGAGATGTAGTTCCTGATGTTTATAAGCCTTTGCTTCTATAAAACCTGCATTTAAGCAAAGAAACTTGTGATTCGATATGTTGTGACAGCCCACGATGTTATTGTGAGACTTTTGACGATATCACAATATTTTGGTTATTGTTACATCCCTACTACTCTGATTACTGTATTTCAAGTAATTTACTGATTACTATAAGTTACAGCTCAGAAACCAACTTGATAAAAGCCTGAATTCTTTAGATTTCTATTATAAATCCTGATTTCAAGTAGAGTTTAGGTTTAGTCCTTCACAGTCTCTATAAACCGAGATGTGTGTAGTTTTGGTTCACAGATGATCTTTTGACTCTTTTACCACAGTTTTATTGGATTTAAAAAGATTTTAAAAACATATCAGGTTCTTCATCTTGTTTTCAGATTTATTATCTACTTACTGGCTCTGAATTGGTTGTATAATCTTAAAAATGAACACATATATTTGTTTCATGACTCAACTAGAACAGACGGACTTCTCTCATCTAAGACTGAGTTCAAGTGCTTAGATCTGGAAATTAGCATCTTTGAATTTAGTATCAGGCCATGAACACTGATCATAAACTTGTTTTAAGTCTGTTTATCTAGAATTTAGCAGAATTTAAAGAATTTTAAACATTTGGTCTAGAATTAAGCATCTGAGAACTTATTATCAGTCCGTGAACACTCGTCATAAACTGGTTTCAAGTTTGCTTATCTCAAATTTAGCGTCCATAAACTTATTTCCAGCGCATGAAGACTGAGCACAGACGCTTCATTGTAGTCTAGAGGAAGTTTATTTTAAGATAAACTTGTCAAGTAAAACGATCTTGTTGCATGGACAGATCATTTCACTACTTTTAAGTCATTTTCTGACAGATTTAAGTGTTTATATCTTACATTTTGGCTGAGCTTTTTTGCAGTGCACATGTTTTTGTGTGAGGGGAAAAAGTAACTAAGAGATACTAGGTTTAATAACTGCAATCTAATTACTCAGTGCAGCGAGTGACATTGCTGTGTCACTAAAAATGTAATCTGATTACAGTAATCCCTTACTCTGCCCATCACTGATGATCAAACAGACCGAGGCTCAGGGAGGTTTAGAGTTTGATTACATCATCAGGTGGGGTCCTCATTCATGTCACATTTTGTACTTATTGTTCTTCTGTCAGGGCTGGAGCACCAAAGTCTGGGCCCCGGGTGTTTATCATCTCAGTGGCCCCACACAGAATGAACATTACAGACTTTGAGGGGCCCCTCCTCACACAGGCCCTGGGTTCACAGCAGTGTCGTCGTATTCGAGACTGGACTTGGTCTCCAAACCAGCCTTGAGACCACTTTTTTTTTTTCTCGGACTCCAGCACATTTGGTCTCAGTCTCGTCTCGGTCTTGACTAGTGACGGGCATTCGATGAAATTTTCTTAATCGATCGTCGGAAGAATTAACGATCGATTATCGATTAATCATTAACGTTTTTATATTAAAATGATCATCATTATTATTACTATCTGCACTAATCTGCATCAATAAATTCAACTTTACGACATATAAACATAACGACTCTAGATCCACATCAGCTGTTTGACATTATAATGTGTTTAATTCAGTTTTGTTCAAATCTCACAGAAACAAAACTTAAAACCACATCACTAATTTACATAAACTAAGTGAAGATAAAACTCCAGCTCTTGTGTCGCTGATGTGGTTCAACTTGTGTTGGATTAAAAGACATGACTCAGGTGAATACAGGTCAGTGTGACCAGATTTGTGTTTGTCAAAACCAGGACAGCGTACGGGGGGAGGGGGGCGGGGCCTCGTCATCCACATTGAGCGACTCTCACCTGGAAAAACTTTTTCCCACTGGACACAGAAACATATGTGCTGCTTTATCCACTGTGCACATGGACTCACACTTGTCCCAACGCAACGGAAAGTGTGGAATTTCTTCTACAAATCCTGGTTAAATCCACATTTGTGCTTCGGTTCGTTACAGACTGACCCACTGTTTGTGTCTCGCTCCTTCTGATGCAGAGACACATGTACACACCTGTTTGGTCACGACACACAAACATACATTCGGTTTGTCCATTAAAATGAACGTAATCGATGAAATTCTTAATGATCAGTTATCGATTAATCGACTAATCCTGCCCATCCCTAGTCGAGACCAGCCTCAAGACTGTTTTTTTACAGTGTTGGTCTCAGGTTGGACTCAAGCGCATTTGGACTCGATCTTGTCTCGGCCTTAATGGAGCTGGTTTTGGTCTCGGTCTTGTCTCAGACTCGAGGTCTGACACTAAACGAGTATTTCATTACGGCCGGTTAAAGTGCAGAGGTTAAATATCACTGCAAAACCAGTGAGAGAATGTGACTTTTAATGTGATGAACTTGAAAAAAACTCACTTCATTCACTTTGAAGTTGTTTTCTGTAACGTCCCAATGGAAGCGGGATTAAAGAAGAGGTTCTCAAACTGTGGGTGAGGGTCCAAAAATGGGCACAGTTTAAGTGTTTAAGTGCAGAACAGTTTTCTTGGCTTATTTTAAGCTTAAATGAACATTAATCAAATAGAATAGAGGTAGATTTATAACAAATATTGATATATAAATAACTGTAATTTCATATATATTTTTTTGTATTTTACAAAGGCGGCCTTGATTTGGTCTCGGTCTTGTCTCAGTCTTGTCTCGGTCTCGACCTTCAGAGGTCTTGGTCTTGTCCTGGTCTCGGGACCCTGTGGTTTTGGTCTGGTCTTGGTCTTGTTTAGTGCGGTTTTTACTTCAACTCTAGTATACAGTACTCTTTACCTCCTCCCGAGTCCGACACTCTGTTCCAAACACCGTTTTTATCTTAATCTGATCCAAATTTGTATCTCTAATGTATTTTAAAAGTCCAGTGTGTTCATTCTTACATATTTAGACTCTTAAACACCATTTTATCTGATGTTTCCAGGTTCATGATGCTGTTCTGAATCTGTCCAACCACTGCACCGTGCTGCTCATCTCCAATAAACTGGAGATGGTGAAGAGCGCAGACCACATCGTGTACCTCCACCAGGGGGCGGTGCCAGAGCAGGGCCGCCACGACCAGCTGATGGGGCTTCAGGGACACTACGCTGAGCTGGTGGAGAAGCAGAACAAAGGCTTCCAGAGACAGACGGAGCAGAGCTGAGACCTGAGACCCGAGACCCGAAAAAAACAACTAAACTAAACAAAACACCAACTCCGCCCACAACCACTTTTGAAATTGCAAATAGTAGTTTTTTTTAATCGCTTCTGTTGGAAAAGAGTCGCAAAAAATGAGGAGGGAGAAGTATTTATTAGTTTTTTATGATATTTTGTTTGTGGAGGTATAAGGAACTCTGTGATTGGTCGAACAGATTTTCACACTTCAGACTCCGCCCCTACAGCACCTGGGGGCAGTGCTGTGTGATGTCACCAACTACTTGATACTGCAATGGCCACTGACAGCAGCACACACTTAGATTTATACTTTTGTTTTGGTGTTCAGTTCCACTTTAAGAGAAAAATATATATATTTGGTATGATGTGAATATTTAAATTAGAATTTAAAACATTTTATAACTTAAAAAAAAAACATTAAATAAAACAAAAATAATTATAATATCGCGGCTCAGACATCAGATTATGTATGTTTTGGTTTGATTTGCACATCACTAATTTTTGTGATATTCAGAAATAAATTTATTTATTACATTTAAATAAATTTATTTTATTTTATTACATTTAAAAAAATTAATTTTCCACAGTACTGTATGTATTTGAAATATTACTGTAGACTTTCTGAAGGCTTTCAGATTCTTTCCTTTTTCTTAGTAAAGATCGAGTCTGTGTGTATATATGTGCAGTAGTATTATCACTGTATTACAGTAGAGTAATAATACTGTTACTACTGAAGCAGCACCAACTGAATGACAATAACAGTAGAAGCTCCTTTTGCAGATGTGACGTTTGTGACATCAGTATTATTTAAAATGATTTGGAACATGGACAAATCCAAAGAAGTTTATGTATTTTTAGTGTAATGTTTTATAATTGAAAAAAAAATCAGTCCGCTTGCTTAGAGGGATTATGCTGTAATATTATTTTTTATATATGTCTAAATAAATATGTTCTACTTTAAAAGGCCCATTGGATTTTTTGGGAAACTTGAAGCCGTCTGGAGCAGAGGTGGGCACGGGGCCACGTGAGAAACTGAAAATATGGAAGTCCGAGCCAAAAAGCTGCTCCGACTGTTGAAAAGAAATTAAAAAGTGAGGTTGCCTTACAAAAATGTAATTTACAAAAAACACCTCTAAAATAAAGGCAAGACCACTTTATTCCATGCATGAGGTAAAATGATAAAATATGTTCATTTTGTAATTCTAAATGAGACAATTATCTGTGATAGTGTCAGGCTGTTGGAAAATATCTCATGATTCTTGGAAAACAATGGACTGGATGAAAAGCCAAGTAGTAATTACCTGAGAAAATGCCGTGCACAATGTAGAAATTGTGTCTTTTTATTTCTTCTTTTTCAGCAGCTTTTACCGTGAGATGAATACATGACGTAAAGAGCATTTATCTCAACAACAGTTAATAAAAATCAGGTACAAGCCCATTAATATTGAATACAATAGATACAACACATTTAAATAACAAAGAACTATTGTTTTAAAATGGCAGTTTGATATTTAAGTACATTTTAGGTATGTACATTGGCAACTTAATTTAATTTAATTGAAACAGAAAACGCACACCAAAGTTCTTGTAGAGGTGGAAATGCAAGAAACGGCTAAATAAAAGTGAAATGCAATGTCCAAAAGCTTTTTTTTTTTTTTTTTTTAATAACTTTGGTTAAAAAAATAAAAAAATTAAATGCTGAATAAAAAAAAAAAGATAAAGCTTTTGGACATTTTTCACTTTTATAAGTTAATTACATTTATGATATTTGACAAAAAAAAAAAAAAAAACTATAATCAGAAGCACTTTTAATAAATAAATAAATAAATAAATAATACACGATAAAAGAGAAAACGCACACCAAAGTTCTTGTAGAGGTGGAAATGCAAGGAACAGCAAAATAAAAGTGAAATGTGATGTCCAAAAGCTTTTTAAAAAAAATTTTATTTATTTTTTTTAAAAATAACTAACCCTAACTCTAAAAAAAGCCTTTGTCAGATAATTAGATAATTTTTCTCGCTTTTGGACCACAATGTTTTTGCTGAAATGTTATTTTAAAAAAAAAAAGCTTTTGGACATTTTTCACTTTTATAACTTAATTACATTTAACTCTCAATTATGATATTTGAGAAAAAAAATAGTAAAAATACCTACAATCAGAACGTTTAATAATTTGTTTAAATAAATACATTTATTTATTATAACAAATACATAAATAAATAAATAAAAAAAGATAATAAAGAAAAAAAAACTATAACACCGTCTGGCGGCGGGTAGTAACCAATCAAACGGCCGAATTCTCGTCACGCGACAGGAAGCACACGGTAGCCCCACGTGACGGGTATAAACAGCGCATAGCGGAAGTGCTTGGGCGCCATTTGGGCAGCGGCACTCGGGGGGGAAAGTGCAGGAGGAGCTGCGCAGACAGAACCACCGTGTTCCCCCGCCGCGGCTGGATGGAGCCTCCCGTCAAACAGCCCCACAACACGTAAGGGCGCCCCCCGGGGATACACACACGCACACGCCCCCCTCCAGCCCGCCTCTGGGGACCGGAGAGAGAGAACCGAACCGCCCCGGGGACCGACCGCCGCTCCCGCCCGCGCTGCTGTTGTTTTGGTCGGGAGGCGTTAGCTAGCTCGGCTCGGCTCTTTCTCCGTGTCCGTGCGTCATGTTCGCATTGGACATTTGGCGTTTCCGTGGACGCTTTATGAGTTTATAACATGCACACGATCGTTAAAGGGGAATTAGGTGAAGAAAATAAAAATAAATTAGCGGTTTGGTTCTCTGAGTTTTAGCTGTGCACGGAATGGAAGACAAACCTGTTCATTCATTGCACTGGCGCAGGTGACAGGTACAGAATCTAACGGGAATAACGGCTTTTCCTGCCCCTAAACTACAAATATATATTCTGTTTTTCTATTATACATACACTGACTAGATTTTCTAAATAAAAAAACTGGGGCATCCCTAGTTTAAGTTGGTTTGTAATAATAAAATTGTGAAACGAGCGCGTAATTGAGGAGAATAGTTACGCCCTCGACACTAATGTGAGTCACATTTTCTCTGCGTTTTGGGCATTTTTAAGCAGTTTTAAGTGTTTTTTTAATAAACAAATGTAAATTTATGCCTCTCTTTACTGTTGGCAGGGATCAAATATGTCAAAAATAGGGACTTTTTTTGTGTAAAAGTGGGAAAAATTAGTGGTTTTGGATAAATCTGCTCAAAACTGGGACTGTCTCGGATAAACACGAATCATCTGGTGACCCTTCTGTACTGTTCTTCTACTACACAGTCTGTGGTCCTGCCCCATAGTCATAATCCAAATTCATGTTCGTTTTTATTGTCGCCCGTCAGTGTTGGGGAAGTAACAGATTACATGTACTGGAGTTATGTAATCAGAGTACAAATTACGAGTAACTGTATTCAGTTACAGTTACTGTATCAGTGAGTGGTAATTGGATTACAGTTACTTTGTTGAAATAAATGGATTACACGGCGGGATTTTCCTGTTTTCACATTTTGGGCTATATTCCTTTTTTTTTTTTTTTTTTCGGTAATTTTTGTCATTGCCATTGCCAGGTTAAACCTCTAAACCAGGTCTAAAACCAGTCTAAAACCAGTCTAAAACCAAAACCAGTCTAAACCCAGTCTAAAACCAGGTCTAAAACCAGATCTAAACCCAGATCTTAGACCAGGTCTAAAACCAGGTCTAAAACCAGGTCTAAAACAGGATTTAACCAGGATTTAACCGGACAAAACCATGCCGCGCGGCCCGTGTTTCCTTGTCTTCGATCAATATTTTTAATTTGGTTCAGTAAAATCTGGGCTTTTAATTTTCTTTTATCAGACAAAACGTTTTATGTGAAGATTTCCTCGTCTTTGTTTCTCTACAGAAAATCAAGTAATCCAAAGTATTCAGATTACATTACTCACTTTAAGTAATTTAATGGATTCTGTTTACAAACTACATTTTGGGATATGTAGTCTGTAATCTGTAGGGGATTACATTTTAAAAGTAAACTTCCCAACACTGAATGTAAATAGTAGAATCTTTGTGGGGGGGACTAGATTTACAAAATAAAAAACTGAAACGTCTCTGGTTTGAGGTGGTTGGTAATAACAAAACTGTGAAATGAGTGTGTAATTTAGAAAAACAATTCTGCGCTTTCATGACTTACACAGGACTAACATGTGAGACAGTGTAGTCACATTTTCTTTGTGTTTTGGGCATTTTTTTTTGTGTTTTACCTTAAACAAATGACAGGTCAAGCTTCTCTTTACTGTTGGCCGGAATCAAATTTGGTCAAAAATAGGGAAATTTCTTGTATAAATTGGGATAAATTCATGGTTTTGTATAAATCTGCTGGGACAGGGGACACACGGCTCAAAACTGGGACTGTCCCTGGGAAATAGAGACGTCTGGTCACCTTGAATCTGTGTTTCTGTGCTGTCAGTCTCGTAGTGACACCAGATCGTGTCAGGTGGAGTTGTTGGAGTTGTTTACAGTCAGGAGGGTGGGGCGCAGAACCACGCGGTGCACACTGACAGCTCCAGTGTGCTGCGTAATCCTTTGGACTCGTGTAATTATCTGTTATTTACTCATAGTATTTACATTGGTGGTGTTTTGTTTAACCGGGTTAACGTTAACATTTGCAGATACAGTTGTTATAAACTAGTAATATGAAAATTGGTGGTTGGATTCTGCATTTGATGTAAAGCTGTTCCCGATTGATACAGAAAAAGGAGGAAATTGTAATACACGAGATGCTCCTGAACGTGTCATTATTTACACCAAAATTTGATTATAATCTGATCTCTGGACCTTTAAGGTTATTTAAATCAGGGGTGTCAAACTCAAATTCACAAAGGGCCAAAATTAAAAACTGGGACTAAGTCATGGGTCAAATAAAAAATTTATTGAAAAATCTGAACAACATCTGCATGTTTTCTCTTCTTTCGAGATCTGTAATATTACACCTTTTGTTTGAACACTGAATCCAGAACAAACAAAACGTAAAATAATAACATTTTAAATAAATAATGTCTCTATAGCCTATCTGTAACCGGCGGGCAGCGCTAATACAGATTTGATCTGATGTAATTATATCGTGGGCCAAATTTGGCCCCTGGGCCTGAGTTTGACATGTCTGATTTAAATGATATGTAAACAGTTAGTAACAACATTTATGAGAAAGCACTCTTTGAATTTGCCATTTAGATTTCATTTAAATAATCTTAGAAGTCCAAAAATCAGGTATTAATACAAATTTGGATGTAACAGCAGCTGGTGTTTTCACTTTAAATCATATTTATTTGGCAAAAGCTGCTAAATAAT